GAAAATTAACGCAGCCGCTTGGCGACGTTCACAATGCGGTTTTGGGTGAGCTTGACAATGCTAACATCCCTCTGGCAATGAGAAATCGATGCGGGAAGCGAAGTTGAAGTGAGAGATAACTGTCTGATTTGTCATGTTGGATGTAAATATTGAAGGGATTGCATTTGCCAGGAATAAAAAATATCAGAGGAAAGAAAAGAAAAGAAACGGTTGGTGACGATTGTGAAAATGTTAAGGGAAAGAATAAGTTCGTCCTTTCAATTTTTACGTCAACATTTGGATCTATATTAACGTTTTATACTTTGTCTTTAGGATTAGCTCTCCATTTTAATGCTTACTACCCCACTCTGAGTAATGAAAAAGGAAGAGAAAATGCGCGATGTGTGGTTGGTTAAAAAAATCGCCAACATATGGATGGTGGTTATCATTTAATTCCACGACAAATGCTAAGTTTCTTCAAAAGAACAGTTTGAAGGGAAAAAGAATCGCCAACTCGACAAAGCAAACGAACACACAACGCGCAATGATAAGGAGTGATCGCTGATTCACCCTACAGGTCCACGTATTGCAATGGATGATGTGTCACGGGCGGCACTTTTCCGTATCGACCACTGCAGACCTTTCCGCGGAGGACATAGCGAGCGAATGGTGAAATAAACTGAGCAATTAATCCTCTCTGCAAATTAGTACTGCCTTCCCAATTTCTGGACTGTTGCATGAATTGGTCGATTCAACAGTAAACAGGTCATCCAGTCAACTAATCATTTTACTGCCATCACCTTCATTATCACTATTGTTATCATCATCATTATCAGTTGCGATGGTGCTATTGTTATTCTACTCATTCTTCTCGAGTGTTAAATAGGTAACGATAATGCACTCATTGTCGTTACCTGTTGGTCAGTAGAGCTGCGATCTATATTTGGTACAAGGGAAACTATTAACAGAGGTAGACTAACATCACCAATATCTCTTTCATACTTACTGGATGTCCAGGATCCGGATTTTTAGCAAAGCGGAATCCAAAAATTGCTGAGGTAATGCTCCTACATAGATGTATTATTTACACAGCTCACCAGGCGTTTTCATTTGGGACAGTTCGGATTCCTATTTTTATGTTACTCAGGATGTAAATTCATTTGCAGTTGCTTCGTTGTTAAAGTAAGAAACCTGAGCGTAACATCTCGTATACCCTTCTGATTCGAACTTTCTCCTAATATTCTCCTAATATGTTTTGTTACTTTCCAACAATCTATCGGATAACTCCCATCTTTTTATTTAGCAACCATTTGATATGAAATGTTAAATCCTGGTACTTTTTGTCCGTCTCTTCTCCAGCGTTATAAATCATTAAATTTCTTACATAAATCATTAGATCTTAGATCTCTTACATTTATCTCTTACAATTGCAACAAATCTCTTCAGCATTTCTTCCAAGCGGTTATGGTTGATGGACACATCTATAAGGATTGGTTTGGTGACTCTTTTTTGGTTATAATATTATTTGTTACTGGTATACTTCCGATAGATTTTTTATCCGTTTGGAGTTGTGGTGAAATAGGTATTATGAGTACTATGAGTATTATGAGTTATTTGCTTTGTTAATTTTAGCACTCTGCACATATGAAGAAGGCACGCACGCCTCATCCTTATTTCCAAACTTTTTGTAAAAATACATCTGTAATCATCCTCTTCTATTTAGTCAGAGTGATAAAGAATTGCTATAGAATAGATAGCCGTCGTATCCATCTATTCAAGAGGTATCTTAAGAATATGGAACGATTTGTTCCATTAGTCACTTGTTTTATCACAAAAATTCCGTATGATTTTCTTCACCGTAATTAAAGTCTATGATCTACATGACAATGAACCAAGCTATCCTTACTCTTTAATTCAAATGCATGAGATAAGGTAATTAGTTATCCATGTATCTGTACGCATATACAGAAAAGAAAATGTAAAAGATGACTGTTATAGAGATTTGTGTCGGGCACCACATGCTTACCAAAAGACAACAACGATGACGATCACATTTGCAACGCATGCAATAAAACTTTTTTATAATGCATGTGAAACGTATGAGCAAAAAAACAGGAAGCGACAGAATAATGTCGAATGAATTCACTGAAATGACTTCGGCCACTGAACTTCGGTTACAACGTCAACGTATAACGTCTTGGTGACACGTCATGATGACAATATCAAGATGATAGTGTTGTGATGACGACGTCGTGATGCAAATGCCATGATGACAACATTCTGGTGATAATGTCGAGATGACAACGTTCTGATGATAACGTCATGATGACAACGTCCGCAACCATTATTACTGTGCTATAAATAATTCTATCGATGCCGTATTTAACTCTATGGCTGCGTTAAATTTTTTTCGTTATTGCTGAATAAGTTGATATGTGGTGCTGTTGCTTTAATATGGGATGTGTTGTGTTGAGAGGTTAATTATTGTTTTTCGATCTCTTATCTGTTTTCTATTTTTTTTAATTTATGTAGTAAAGAAAGTTTTTCCCTATCTCACGTATGCTGCAGTACGACCTTACCTGGAAAGTAAGGATTGGGTGGAAGAGAGAGCATCAGTTGTTAGGTATTATGAATTTATCTTATAATACCAAGTAATTATCGCAATATCAGTATTCTACAGATTCCTTTTGTAATACACTGATTAATCTTCATATCATCACCAAAACAGCTGCTCCACAGCAGTTATGTGGCTTTTCTTTTTTAGATTCGATAATGCGATTAAACCTGAGTAATACATTGGCATTATTTCGAAATGATATCGTTCTACAACATTCGTTGTTTTCGGCTTTGTTCTCTGTAATAGTAGTTAGTATGGCATACATGTTTCGTATGGAGCGGTGGAAACTTGAGTACGTAGCCTTCTTGCTATCAATTCCAACATCAGTGTTGGTGTGCGGTTGGCGTGCACGCTGGAATGCACTACAGGCATCTCTCCTTGGGGGTATCTTTACGTTGTCTCTACTTTGCGCTTATTCAACAAGTAATTTGTATTTGTCAATATTCGCGTGGTATTTCGCATGCATGGCAATATTTCACTACGGGGAATTCCTTATGACAGCATTAACAAACCGATCAGATTTAAATTTTTCATCCTATCTTCTGGATCATTCGCTCGCATATTGGGAAGCTGCTATGATAAGTTGGCTAGAATATGCCATGGAAGTACGTTTCTTACCGCTTTTGAAAAGCGTTACCGTAAGTTACATCGGATTAGTACTAATTATATCCGGTGAAGTTTTACGAAAACTCGCCATGATTCATGCAAACGGTGGGTTCACGCATGTGATTGCAATCGCGAAACGTCCAAAGCATAAATTGGTCACTAGTGGTGTGTATGGTTTTGTACGGCATCCAGGGTACCTCGGCTGGTTGGTTTGGTGCTTAGGTACACAGATAATGCTCTGCAACCCTATTTGTTTCATCCTTTATTTGTTGATTGGATGGAATTTTTTCAACGAAAGGATATATTGGGAAGAGCGTTATCTGACTTCTTTCTTTGGTGCGGAATATATTCAGTACCGAAGGAACGTACCGCTCGGGATACCTTTTATTAAAGGATACGAATCATAACGGGCGAGGTAACATCGTATTTGATTGTTTGGTGTTACCGTCAATTTAATTTTATAAAGTTTAATACCCGTGATAATTTAAACTGAACTAACAGCAGCGCATACAGTTGCGTATTTATCGGTGGTTTCTTTTATGCTATACAAACAGTATCGAATTCTGGTTCTCTGTGAGCTTCCTGAAAAAAGTTTTCCCAATGTTAGCTGTCTGACTATTGTTCTTGGATAAGAGTGCTTAGTTAGTCGTAACCGAACAACTAATGTTGTATTTCCTCATGTTTAAAGCTCGATGTTCGCTATATTACCACAACTTACACTTTTTCCCAGACTCACAAATTGAGATGAGAGACTGGTGAGGTTTTGTTTTTGTTTTTGTTTTTTTTTTGTTTTGGTGGGTGAAATTATGATGACTGAAATTATTTCGACTACAATTCTCCCTTTCAAAATCGACACAAATAAAGTTTTCAATATATGACAAAAAGCTTTTTTAATAGACTGTAAGAAATGCTTGCTGTTAGTTTAAAGGGATTACATATATTGCTTGTTGAAAGCCTGTTACGATTGCATGATAATATTTCTTCCTTCATTTGAAAGTTATTACTTCTGTATGGAACTGTGTCATTTTTCTATGTGATTTCAGTTTTCAGTCCATCATTTTACTATTAAACATCTTAAGCAGTGTAAAACAGTTCACTATTAAAATTGACTTAGTATTAAATTGATAGAGAAAACTTAAGAAGCAAACATAAAGTGACTAAGTAGCTCCAATTAATCTTCATTCACAATATTGCATACATTTGATAATTGTTTTACTGGGATAAGGGGATAAGCTTTTGGGCATAATTTTATGTAAAGTTCTTGCACCATCATTTTACTGTACATTCCTAGATTGTAGTACTGTGTATTATTTTACGCCGTACAGCAAGTAATGTTAACCATAATTGACATTACTATCCGTACGTTTGTTAGTTCCCAAATTTATTCCTTTTCTGTATTTATCAATAAATTTCGGTTTCATTCTATTTCAAATTTTGGTATCATCTTGCTGTCAAAAATTTATAATGGGGATAAATTTGGAGAATTAAATTTGATTTAAAAATTTTGCTCGCTTAATTGTTGCACACGATTATTGCAAAACTTGGCAGGTATTATGTTTGAAACGATTTGCTGAGTTTTTTGGTTGTTGAAGTATTAACGAGATTTTCAAAAAATTTCTTTCAAATTTTATACTGGATTTTTTGTGAAGCTTCTGGCCATCCAAGGACTTATCGACATCTTGTTTTGTAGCACTTTGCTATAGAAATATATATATATTAGTAATGGCGAACGAAGCTGTTGTTATAGATGATCTCTTGTTATAAACACAGTTTTGTTTTAGTTTTGTGATTGTCGTGTAATAAAATTTTAGGATGAATAAGCGGAATCTATCAATCGATTATGAAGATCTAGAATCAGAATTTGACTATGCAAATGATGCTGGAAGCAGTGTCGATGGAGGGAAAAATTGTCGAATACGGGATGACGAATTATGGAAGAAACCACGAGTTGGAAATATTGCATTGTTAGATCGAAAGAAAGCACGAAACATATTTGATGAAGAACAATCCTGTTTTGAGAGGTACTGTTTGCTATTCTGAATTTTTATTAAGAACGAAGTGGGGGAAATGAAATTAGAGAAGATTAAATGATAAGGGATTTCATTTCCTTTTCTATAGATTAAACCTTTCACTTATATAATTCGGCAATTTGTCATTGTGATACTGATACCGTCTTGGAAAACAATTATGATTTTACCCTAGCTTTCAGACGAAAACAGCGGTTGATGACCTTAGACGTTTACACGCGACACAAAGAACTGATAAATCAGTATTATCTCTGTTACCCTGGTGCAACAGCAAAACTGCAAAGAGATACATCCAAAGATCGCACCGATTATGATGTCCTTAAAGATAATCATAGATTTCTTTGGAATGATGATGAGGTTTCACTTAAATTGAGTAAAATATATTTACTTGCAGGGGAAATGTTATTCCAACAAGCAGTTAATTTTTGGTAAACTTATAATGAACTGTTATATTCTTTATCATCATCATTTTGTATTTAGGTAAATTCATTTCATCTTTTTCAGTTAATGAAAGCAGCGGAAAAGTCGTGGGAAGCTCGTTTAGCCAAACGATATTATGATAAACTTTTCAAGGAATATTGTATTGCTGATCTTTCGCAATATAGAAAAAATAGGTAATTATGTGTACGGTATATTTCGTGACATTAAAGTTGTGAAATGAGTTTTAATGTTTATATTTCTATAAGGAATTTATTTTATGGGGAAAGAAAAGTTTTAGATAATTGCCTTACAGTGTCTTAACTTTCTTTGATTTATGAATTTCAGAATAGCCATGAGGTGGCGAACTGAAAGAGAAGTCAGGTCAGGGAAGGGCCAGTTTGAATGTGGAAATAAAAGGTGTAACGAAAGAAATGACCTTACTAGTTGGGAGGTAGGTTATGTGAACTCTTAATGCGGTCCAAATTTTAATTCCAACTGATATCTTTTTTTGTCTTTTGGCGGTGCATTTTGTCAATTTTTGTAATGGCTTATATAATTTAAGTCTCATATTCATACCGTATATGAAGTGAAACATTCCAGTGCTTTCTCGAGATATTGTCATTAAAATTTAATGATAAGAAAAGCAAGGTTTTAAATGAACCGCTCCATTTCCGGTTAACTTCGCATACTTGGAAAATAGCATTAAAAAAAATGCTCTGGTCAAGTTGCGATTATGCCCGGAATGCTCGAAAATGCTCAATTATCATTCTCAGAAGAAGAAGCTGGAAAAGAAAGACAAACGTAGGCACAAAAGGAGATTGTAAGTTTTTCAGAATTTTCACAACTGAACATGTAATCTAGCACTACACCCGGAACAAAATATGTTGTGTCATCGCTTATATATACAATTTCTTAAAATTCTAAATATTCTAATTTACATTTTAACGTACATTTCAATTATTGGTTTATTATTTAATCACTTGCTTAACAGATTTTACGAGTGACAATTGTCATTCAGATCTAATGCTAGAAGCCAGAAAGAAGAAATCGCGAAGCAAGCAGATGCTTCAGAGGTCCAAAACTGTGCAATTTCTGAGGAGACGTCCAAAGAAGTGGAACAGAATATTGACGAGGAACTGGAAAAAGATAATTTAATGGAAATCTGGAGGAAATCACCAGAAGATACTGATCCAGAAAAAGTTGCTGAACAAGAACTGGATGATTTCTTGGATGACTTGTTATTGTAGCTGCGTTAGTCTGTGTACATATATTTAATAATTTTTTTATTCGATAAACAAAGAAGTTAATTAGAGAAACTGAATTTAATGGACATTGTTGTGTACTTTAATAATAGTTAGGCGATATTTCCATTTCAAATATTTTAAATAAATCGGGTCGTTTATAAAGGTTCACACTATATTTCGATAATAGTGCTGTAAAAAATAGTGAAGGGATTCACGTTATTTTAGAAGCGAAAATAAACTTCAGTTTCCGTCGTTTTTTGCATGGTTTAATTGATTCTGTGATGAAAGAATCTAAGGTGATCAGTACTAGCAGTACTAGCCAGGAATATAACACGAAAGTTATTTTAAATCTCTATGAAGTGGACGTATAGAGCAGATATGGAGTCTGAAATCAAACGGGATTATGAAACAAGATGGTCTTTATTTTCATCTAGCGGCAAATAATAGAAGATGTTTATGATTTACGGGCCATAAAACGAATCCATAAATTATTCCTACCTCAAGGCCATCGATGGATAAGTAAAACGATGGAGCGGTAACAATATATCGAGGAAGGTTCCTTCCTTGATATGTCATTACTGTATTCATAAAAGGTGGATTTCATTTGACAAGCCCACTGTTCACAAGATATAGAGATGCCTGGGCTTTGCTTGAGGGTTAATTGAATTCAAGATTAATTATGAAAGCATGTGGCGAAGATATCGGGGATTGATGTAGTAAATTGTGAAATAAAAAGTCCGGATTGATGTAGTAAATTGTGAAATAAAAAGTTCCTTATTTCATCTAGCGAAATTAATTGGAAATTTTTAAGATTGTTTGTAGGCCATAAAACGACTCTACAAATAATTTCTGTCTCAAGGACATCGTTGGATAAGTAAAGCGTTGAATACGGTGGTGATATGTCGAAACGAAGATTCCATTTGATAGGCCATCTGTTCAAAACATATATACATGCTAGGGCGTGGAGTATGTGCTGATAACTGGGCTGACAAATCATGATTGTGAAATTAAAGTGAACGAAGAATGAAAGATGTTGGTGACAAATACACGTAACGATTACATTCATTTAATTTCGAAATTTGCATAACAGTTTGATGAGTGTGTCTCAATTTTAATTCGTTACGCTGGAGTAAATTTACTGTGGCAATGTTCAGGATCCTTTTTAAAGGAATTCTCATTATTAACGCAAGCTTACCTTAAACAAACTACAACAATTTATCTAATTGATAAAAATAATAAGGCAAGAGATGTATTTGCTTGCATATGTTAAGCATTCATAAACACACGTAACTCTGCAATTTCTTAACTTGGAAGATTTTTGATTTTGATAGTAAAATAGCGTAATGTCCCAACTGATACAAGACGTCCTTTTCGTATGAAACAGTAATAGGTGATGGATTATAAGTCAAATCATGTATGTATTCGAAGTGTAATTGAGGAGGTAAGTGAAACGATGTAAATGACAATATAAATCTCACTCAGAAGCATTGTGTCCACATCTTGCTCTCAAGTGTTTTGAAAAAGAAACAACATCTCGAATTTTTGTTGTAATTATGAAAACGTTATTCGTTATCCAGCAAAAAGTGGAGTTTATAACTTTGAAAAAGACATTTAAATAGAAATTAAAGCTTTTTAGAAAATGAGAAAGTAGGAAAGATAAGTCAAAAATGGCAAAATTTTCATATTAGGAATAGCTATCTCTGTTTTCGTAATTTGAGAAATTGGCTAATTCCCAATTACAGAGCATGTTCCTTTTCTTTTTTCTACACTTCTGTTTTGCTCTATAATATCGATAACAAATATTCAGCATTGAAATACTCATTACTTGATTGAATTGACTTATTTGAACTATGAGTTGATTAAACTGAAACATGTGAACTATAAATGAAATGTATCCAATGGTATCACTTAGTATTAACAATAAGAAATTTCACATTTTCTCTTTGCTTGAATGAAATTAGTCCGTTGTTGCTTAAACCTAAATTTAAGTTTGTTGCACTGAGTTGTTTCATTGGACTGAATCCACTTAGTTTACCAATCATGCCTCATTTGTGCTACGTGATCAGCTTTTCAGGTATGAAATTAATTGATGTGTTTTTTGGAAATGAGAACGAAGAATTATTTCATATTGTTGATGATTGGGTACTCATAGTTTCATCATTGCTACTTACAGTTTTATCATTGTTGATCGTGTGTATTTGCAATTCATGTATTTTTGAAGTAAGATGATGCTCTACTGAATGAATCCATTAATTGTGCATCAAAACTTATTGAAATTATTTTTCGTTTATTTTTTAAATAACTGATAATGTAATGCTGTCACTGTTCAATTTCATCTTTATGTGATGGTTGGGAATGCAGCAAATCATCCCAAACATGACATTATCGCTTGATTAGAATATTTATTTTTAATGTTCACAGGACTGAATTTGATATCTTTAAAGGAATCAGCACTTCGCATACCGACTGTTGAAATCGTTTCAGTTGGATAAAAACAAAGGAATCATCAGAATAACGCCAATTTGGGAAGATTTTATTATTGGTTTAATATAAGTATGTTTTAGCTTGTTATTTTTAGCTTATAAGCAACTCGTTTAACTTATAAGCAAATCGTTTAGCTTATATGTAACTCGTTTTAGCTTGTCACTAACCATATAATAAATATAATTCAAATGCGCCTTTTTCGACACGATGCAACTAAACATTTCAATTCCCTCGTTCTCATTTATGCCTAATGTGTGTAACACTCATCAAAATGAATGTGACAAAAGAGTTAGCATTTTTTAAACTGAATCCGAAAAGTTTCAGTTGTTAGCTGTGATGTCTCCTCTCGTTAAGATCCACACCAATAGGCAAAATGATGGGTACATTTTGGGCACTTTCTTCTTTCATCGGATGCTACAAAATGCAAATATCTTATACCTTCCAATATTTACGAGAGATAACAGTACTTTCATCACAAAGTTATCCTATCATTGCCTTCTTAGTTTTTCTTCTAAGTGTTACAAAGAATAGTGACAAAACCACTTAACTAACCGTTTTTACGTAAAAATATGCAAGAATAGCAAGGAAGAAAAGATAAGCAATAGCAAGAAACATTCACCACCGCTCCGGTCAGCCAATCATCACACGATTACTTCCTTTCATTTTATCATATTTATAAATTTTTTTAAATCATCATTTGATACGTGCATAATACATAAATACGTGTATACGTGTATTTACGTTTTAGAATTGCTTATTTATTGGTGTGTGTGTGTGTGTGTGTGTGTGTGTGTGTGTGTG